TTCAAGGGGAACTGTATTGGTGATGTGGCCCACGGTGAAAATGAGTTGGACACCGCTGCTGTAAACTGTTCATTTTCAATCCTGGCCATCTTAAATAACGATCTAAGTAATTTTATTTCTGCCACTTCCAGCTCAGCCTTTTGTCTATTGGACAGTAACAGTGTCTCAAAACCATATCCCATATTAGGTCTCACCATGGTCTTATAAATCTTAAATGTACATTTCAAGTGTCTGTTTCATTCCGCTCCATTGAACTACAGGGTTCAAACTCAGGCCCGCAGGGCAAATCTGGCCTCTGGTGTAATTATATTTGGCCCACAAGATCATATCAAATGTGTATTAGAGCTGGCTCGCCGTTATAAATCTACTACATACTGGCGGGATTTGTAGTATTAGCGATGTATGCACTGTGTTATAGCACATACACATTTTTGGTTATTTTGTTGGCCTGTGACATTAAAAAGGAATTTGAAAGGCTAGAGATAAAGATATAATAAACAGGTGTGGTGTTGTTGATTGCAATCTCAATTTTTATTTATTGTTATATTTGTTATATTAAATATATTATATATATATATATATATATATGTATATACTTGTCAGGATTGCCGAGTGGTCTAAGGCGCCAGACTCAAGGTTTCACCCTTCCTGTAAACATCTCTCTGAATGGAGGCGTAGGTTTGAATCCCACTTCTGACAAGCTATTTTTCATCGGTTCCATAGTGTAGTGGCTACCACACCAGCCTCGGAAGCAGTGAGCAGAGAGTCCTTCGATTCCCAGAGGAACCACATGCTTGGCGCTGGCACTTCCTTTCTCTGGTAAGAATAAAGGAGATACACGATTTGCTGGTGTTATCATCACGGCAGCAGGATTTATTCTTCCTGTCTCTTGTACAATATTTCGAAATCCCAAATCCCTGTTTTAACCTAATGGCCTTACCTTTAGTCACAACTTTCATGTAATCTGGCCATTTCACGGCATTGCTTTATAAAACAACAATGATACAACATTCTATTATATTCGTGAAAACAATACGTTAGTTTGATTTTAGTGAAGCAACTTTTAACTAGCAATTTCTCTAACATAATAAAATATCTTTGCACTGTAAATATTATTTATTTATCTCTTGGACTTATCATGAAACTTTTATGAAACACATTTTCTCAGAGTTGAACGACAGTAACTACAGTCTTCTTACAGTCACTCTATCATTTATATCGCTCTGTAACTTTGGAATAACATTTTGGAAATAATAAAAAAAAATCTATTTGTGTATAAATAAAACTAAAAACAAAGGAAAGGAAGGAAGGAAAGTGAACTCCATGTCCTTGTGACATACATCACTGCACTGAAATGGGACCTCTGCATTTAAACCATCACCAACGTGAAGAGTAGGCAGCTTTTTGAGCCCAGGGAGCAGTGTGTGGGGACGATGCCATGCTCAGAACACCTCAGTGGTAACTTGGCAGCTGGTGGATTCAAACCTGCAACCTTCTGGACCCAAGGCCGCTTCCTTAACCACTAAGCCACCACTGCCCGAACAGTTGGCAGCTTTGAGCTGCCCGGGGAGCACATAAGATTACATATGGCATAAAACACATTCCAAAATAAACATCAGCACACATTTAGTGCATCAATTTTCTTCACTCACTACGATACAGGTCCGCTTAGCATTAGGTTATTGCACATACTTCCCTATCTTCTTCTTTTTCTTTCGGCTTTGTCCCTTTTTTCGGGGCTTGCCACAGCAGATCATTGATTTCCATCTCTCCCTGTTCTCTGGGAGAACATACTTCCCTATCTACCAGTCGTTTGTTCGCCCTCCTCCCACCCAGTGAAGAGTTAAACAATTGAATTGCTCGGTGGACAAAGGAGTTTTTAAGTCTATTGATTCTGCTCTTTGGAAAAAGGAGCCTGTCACTGAACAGACTCCTTTGGTTGCTGATGGATGAGTGGCATTAGATGGCGAGCAGTTTGCCAAGTGTTCTCTTCTCTACCACTGTCACCAGAGGGTCCAGGTTGGTGCCCATCACAAAGCTAGACTTCCTGATCAGCTTTTCCAGTCATTTGATATGCTGCTCCCACAGCACACCGCAACATACAAAATGAGACTGGCAACCACACACAATATTTCCAGAAGCTTCCTGCAGTTGTTGAAAGACCTAAGCCTTCACAGGAAGTACAGTCTACTCTGGGCCTTCTTGTGCAGCTGCCTACTGTTGTGCGGCCCGTCCGCTCTCGGAGGTGGACGAGATGGTAAGGAAGGAAGATTCGAACATTCTCTCTCCTACTTGTGTAGTGGCTGCAGTGATGTGGGATGTGAAGAAGCAGGTCTGGAATACCCAGAGGAAGGAGCCCCCCCCAATGGCTTTATGTCCCGCAGGAAGTGTAGTTCCGTGTGCCGCAGTGGGCCCATTTGAATAAAGTTACCTGCCATCCAGGATTCCACAGAACAATAAAATAAAAAAAAAAATTCTAAGGATACTCAGGAGTAGCATTTTTGGGTTTTGGTCCAATATGGCTCTTTGAACATTTTGGATTGCCGACCCCTGTACTAGAATGTTGATTTGAATTGATAACAGTGTTGTGTCTGGCTATTCCCATTTCTTTCTCTCTGGCTGATTTAACCAAATGTATCAATGTTAATAACAATGTCAAAGGAGATTTTACAGTGAATTGCCTTCATACAAATAAATATGAATATTTTATAAATATATTAATATGACCACAGCCTCAATATTTGCTGCAATGCTTTTACACCTATACAGGCTTGATAAAGGTTGAAAGAGCTACATTTCATTAACCCACATCAGAACACAAACACACACACTATAATGGGTAACTCACTTCCTGTAATCCCGTTTGCCCTTTGTGCTTAATGTCCTTGCACAAAACTGCATATCCATCACCAAAGTGAAGAGCGGGCAGCTTTTTGAGCGCCCAGGGAGCAGTGTGAGGGGACGGTGCCATGCTCAGAGCACCTCAGTGGTAACTTGGCAGCTGGTGGATTCAAACCTGCAACCTTCTGGACCCAAGTCTGCTTCCTAAACCACGAAGCCTTCAAAAAGCACGAAATATGATTGCTGCTGCGAGACAATTGCCTTTTGATATTTCATCAAGGAAAGAATAATATTAATGCCCAGGTGGTGGAAATAAGTTTTATTTATTTATTTTACATTTTTTAAGTTTAGATTTACATTGTATGTGCTACTGACAAGTGCTGAAGTTAAAAGTGTTTGCACAACAAATGTTACTGCACTCTCATTCATATGGCAGAAGAATATTTAAATAAAAGTGCACTTTATACTACATTTCAATTCATTATTGGATTTTGTGTATATTAGGGTTGTGTATGCCGTAGTAGAGGAGCCCGGCTTTAAGAATTTATTGAAAGTGCTGGATCCATGTACAGTGTCCCAACATGTACGCGCATCAGCCAGGGAGGTGCTCGGGTGCCGTCCCTCTGGGAGGAGACCTAGGGGAAGACCTAGGACACGCTGGAGCGACTATGTCGCTCGGCTGGCCTGGGAACGCCTTGGGGTCCCCCC